GGAATCTTTCCTGTCTGCACACACAATCCTCCAAAAGCAAGTCATCCGGAAGGAGTTTGTAACCAACAAGTGCAATTATGGATGTCACTGTAATGCCCTTCTTTTCGGTACACCTTCTTCAACACCTCATATTTAAGGTCGTCTTTTTAAGCGCCCTCTGTCAACTAAAGCAGTAAAAGACAAAGAAAGAAAAAAGGAAATGAGGAACTGTCGTTAAAAATACGTTGATACAAGTATGGACGAAAAGAAAAGCCGAGACGAAAGACAGTTGAACTAATTGCGTACTCGCGTGTGCCACTAACTTCCTCCACCGTCGATTACTTCTACTTCCAAATTGCTAAGCAAACAGTTCCGCTTAAAGAGCTTCTTGAATTCACCACTCACCAGCATGACAGAAATGAGAAGTACATAATTCATGGTGAATAAAGCACTTTGATGGAACGGCGTTAAGTTGTAGGACACTCGTCACCACAACTTCAGTCTACGGACCTCCAGCAGCAAAGTGGAAGACACGGTGTTTGGAGCAACTAATGCAGTCCATCCAAAAGGACAATCGCTTGCATTCTTCACGGACTGGAACCCTCTCTTCAGAAGTCAGTCAGTCAGTCGGTCTGTGAAGGCGCCACATCTGCGCCTTGCCTTGAATGAGACTGCAACGAGTCCACCTTGGATGTGTCTGCAACAGGATCGTCGTTCCAGGACTACTAAGCAAAACTTAACTCATCGAGCACTTCCACAGGTGCCAGCTTCAAGGAAACAGACCAGAAAAAGTGCCATCCAGTGCAACTACAACATCCTACAAGTCGATTACGTAGATGGAAGTCCCTAAGCAACGGTACAATCCACCTCATCCCTAAAACCCAATGGTAGAGTTAAAAGTGAAACGAGTTCTCATGTTTTGCTTTTGTTGACTTTGTGCTTCATCACCACGCAACTGACAACTACAAGATGACAGTCAACCACTAGAATTTCAATGCAAAGGTTGCACAACAACCTCCCTACGAAACAGAGTTTTGTCATTCATCGCAATGGGTAAGAGTAAGTCATTCCATTTTATATCTGTAGAGCTGTTACGGTGGTCGTCTGATTAGAATTGCAGTAAGAAGAGTTTGGAACAATTTCATAAAGAGCAACACAATCGTTTTGTACGCAGTGTCAAGTGTCGCATCCACTGACCTTGGCTCGGGCAGACATCGGAGGCTGAGAATGCGGACCAGTGCCTTGAAACTGAAACTAAAAGTGACAGTGGGTGTGAGGGCATTGTCCCACCTCCACCGCTCCGACTTCAATCGAATTAAAAATAACAATTTTCATGCCTGAGGAAGAAAAATTAAAAAAAAACTACGGACTATGACGTTAATGGAAAATGGTCTTCCCTCCCTCCCTCCCCTCCCCCCAACTGCGCCTTTTTTCGTTGTTCCCTTGATGACATGCCAACAACAAGGCAATACAAACGAAACTTAAGCAGCAGCAACAACTCGTACTGTCTGTTTGGTTGGATTTGCAAGAGTTGTAAGAAGAGTGTACACAAGGCAGTGGGTTGGACCACACCTCGGTTCCTCCACACACAACAAGTAAAATTTACCATCCAAATAGCAACTGTATGTAATGGGGGGGAGAGGGGGGGGGCGGGGGGAAAGGAAAAAAATTCAAAATTGAACAAGGGGTGATGTTAATTAAAATAGTACGTAAACACCACAGTTAATATGACCACGAGGATTGCAAATTTTCGATCAAAAATTAAAACACGCAACAGGTTTTCACATGCTTGAAGTTGTGTGGTTAAAATAAAAATGGGCCAATGAAATTGGACTACGTTGAAGGCATTGTCTGAGCAGACGCATTAACAGCCACGTGTTTGGCAGTGTTGCGATCCACCAAAACTTGCCCATTGTTTGTTTTATTCATTTGTTCCATCACTTTTAATAGATGTGAATGTATTGTGCGCATCTTCGTTGGTTCCACGTTGGTCAAGCGTGTGGGAAAGTCGGACATGAGAGTACGTAGAGCAGCCAATTTCTTGGGATTGACATACTTCAGCATTTTATCGGTGAAGTGTACTTTCGACGTTAACATTTCAAGTTCTTCTTCTGTGAGCGTTGAGGCTTCAAGTGCAACAGGTTTTTGTTCTCTTTCCTCTGTCGCCTCCTCCGCCTCCTTTATTTCCATCACCTCCAAAGACGGTGGCCTTTGCAGCAAATCACTTAGAGTTGGGGATGCATATTGGTAGAGGTAGGGCAATTTGGCCATAATAGTTCGAGCAGTGTCGGCATCCATGGTTTCAAGATACCTCACAGCATTGGGCACTTTGTCGAAGACGACTTGTAATGTGCTTGGAGGCAGAGAAGAGAGAGTTTCATCAAAGTTAGGCACATTGTCAATTACGAATTGAATGGTGTGTTGGCTCATGTTGTCCAGCAGGCTGTGACGGTTTTGGTGATTCTCAATTATGTATCTAACCAAATAGGGATCGATGTCTACCAGAGCGTCGGCATACATTGGAGGAATGTTTGGCATGCTTGAAATTATTGTTTGCAGTAACTGTTGATCAACAGGACTGGATGGATCCTCCATCTCATCTGAAGGAGTTAGCACTGAGGGCTCTGCATCAACCACCGTGGAGTCGTGTTGGGGATCATTGGACATCCTAAAGTGTTCAAGGGTGGAGTCGAGTCCATCCATACTGTCACTTGCATTGGCCACATTGGAAATCAACATTTTGAAGGCATCTGCATCTGCATTTGCTAGAACCTCGTTAAGTCTAGGAAACCGATGAAGCATTGATGTTAGTGCATTAGGATCTATTCCAGCAAACAACCCACCCAGTCCGGGTAGTGTCCGAAGGACGGAATGAAGAACCATTGGATCCACAAATATCAACAGTTCATTCACACTGGGCATATCTTTAAGCCTTTTTTGGAAGTCATCCTCTTCCACATTCAAGTACCACTTTGGAAGACCAGGTATTTGGAATTGAGAATCACCAGGCGGTCTTTGACTTGAAAGGAGAGACATCAATGGGTGAAGTTGTTGCATCAACGGATGCATAGGAGAAGCACTGATTTTCAGAGGCTGAACAGGAACGTCTTCTACAGGATCGATGCTTTCACGCATTTTTGACCGGTCACTGTTAAATTTCAGCATCTCCGAGGCCTCAGGTATTGACGTTTGGGGGATGTCGGAATCGCCTACGTTCATGTCTCCGGGTACTGTCATCGGAAACGTAAGAGCAGAAGCGATTCGCATAGGGAGGAGAGACATTCGAGCAACACCGTCCTTTTCTTTACTCGGTTTTGACTGATCACTCTCCAAATGTCTGCACAGTCCTGTCAATTTGTCGCATTTCAGCACCTCCAAAGCCTCAGGTGTGGACGCTTTGTCAAACGCCTCAGTCCAGTACGGACGATATGCGTCTCTGTCTCCAGGTGCCACCATTAGAAAAGCAGGAGTAGCATCAACTCTGTCAGGCAGAACAGACACTTCATCAACAGAACCCATTTCGTTACCCACCTTTGACCATCCACTGTCCAAATGCTTGCACAATCCTGTTGAATTATCGCAGCTGAGCACATTCGAGGCCTCAGGTGTGAGCATTTTGTCAGACCATTCGGGTATGTCGAGATCGTATTTGTATGCGTCTCTGAGTGCGCTCATCGGTTGGATTCTGACGGAGTGAACGGGCACTCTGTTGGCAGGAGCCATTCCTTCTTTCCAATTTGGCCAACTGCTGTCAGTTTTATCGTAATCGCTCCAATTGTGGTCCACAATTTGCCAGTAATTCAGTGTTTTGTCACGCAGGTGTAGGAGGATTCGATCAATGGTTTGCAGTTCCAATTTTGGCAGCACATACGTCAGTGTTGGTACTTTGGAAATGATGACTTTAATCACTTCTTTTCCAAGGAGAGTAATCATTTCATCAATGTTTGATGTTGATTCAATAAAATGTTGTAATTCATGGGGATTGAGACTGGATAGATGATCGGTGATTCCGTTTATTGTTGCTTGTAGGGCATTTAAAGTGTCTGCATTGGGGTCGGTGGCTTTGATGGCAAATCTGCTGCTTAAGACGACTGAATCCTTACGATTCGGTGGTTGTTGCGCGACCAATGTCGTTCCATTCACCCCATCACCCGTCTTAACGACATGACAAATGTCATCGCGACAGACAACTTGACATTTGCCACCGTCTGTGCAATCGTAACCGCGAAAAGGTCCACTGATGCATTCATTGGTTTGGCAATGCCTGAAATCGAAGAAGTCTCTACACTGTCCATCCTCACCTCCACCCCAACAACCACAATTGCCTCCGTAGCAGTCTTGTTCAGCAAGTTCTCCCCCACCCCACGTCTCCTGCATCCGTTTGTGTGGAAAAACGGCATTTCCACCTGTACGACACAAGGACTTGGAACAGATGTTGTCACACACGCCATCTCGACAATTGTAGCCATTTTTGGCGCCCAATTGGCATAATGGAAGCGTTGCTTGCTTTGGATGGACAAAACCATCAACTATGAGATAGCAGAGCAAAAAGGCGTAAGCTACGACTAGTCTCATTGCACATCAATCATACTTTCCCAAGTTTTCCTTTTTTTTTGCGAACGTCCATTTATAGGGGATCTGTAAGATGAGGTGAGGCTTGTTACACGAGGTAGTTGACCTCAAAACTGTTAATCAAAATCACGAGGAGGAATGTCATCTGTCACCGAGTGCTCTAAAAAAACATGCTCTTCAATCTGCACTTCTCTCTGACACAGGAATCAGCGTTGTTCTAAAACGCCAACAATTTGTCATCTCATTGTCCCACTTCATGTGATTTATGCCTGATGATGTACACGTGGAGAGTTAATGTAGCGCTGTTTCAGGTCACCGTGTTTGTTCCTGTGTCTGCTGCCTCATTTGCCGATGCGTACCTCACAAAATGGAATGGTGAAGGCCTCCCGACCCTGTATGAGGTGTGTGCCTATGCGCAGACAGTCCAAGAGGTTTAATTCCTAGCCCAGAACTTGCATAACTGTGGGCGCACTTTTGGCTTCGGTTAAAGAGAAGTGTTTAAGAAGTGAAGCAGTCAACCTGCAGTTGGTTTACGCTCATGAAATTGAAGTCAACTTTTAGCCAAATACGCAACATCCAACCAAACGGCTGCAGAACGCTACACCTTTCTAATTTTTCTTGTTAAAGTTGACTGCTGCAAGCATTAAGTAACAGTTGTGTGGTGGATTTTGACTCTATGAGGGGTGTTGAGCCTCCAAAGTGTTCTGTTGTCTTTCGTCCTCCACTTCAAGACACCGAAAAAGGAGAATCAACAGCCAAATGCTAATATGTGTCCCGTTTTGGTGGTAAGAAGTCTTATGGAGGGTTGAGACGATGCCAACTCGTCCATAGTTTTGTGCCCTCTGACCACTGGTTTGTGGATCGCAAGCATTCATCTCAGTGTGGCGTCATTTGTTAGGCTGTGTAAGCCCAGATGGTGCTGTCTCCTAGCAATGTTATTTCCGAATGGAGAACTGTTACTCGAAAATGACGATGAGCGCGGGTTGTAGCCAACAAGTGACCACATCGTCACGGGCTCCTCTGAGGGCTGTGGTAGAGATGGCTTGTGCAAGGCTACTGATGAATGTCCTCAAATGTCTGTCTGCGCTTCAGTCTCGTCACTATGACGCATTTCTAGTCTTGCGCAGACCATTTGGGTTGGGCCAAGCGATTAGCCTCAGTATTGCAGGGACTTGGTGTTTAATGGCAATGCGACAGCCTTTACTGACCTTGCAAAGAATGAACTAAGATTTTTTATCAAATGGCCTCACTTAATTAATCTCCATTGTTTGCACTGGTCTTCTAACTCAGCACAGTGCACCGTTCCAGTTTTAATTCGTGCGCCATTGTAGCGCCCGCACCCGATCCCTCCTCCATACCAATGGTGAAGGACGACCAGGGCAACTTGATGGGCGAATTGACGACACACTTGTGGTTGTATCAAGTGTTCTTCCTCACATTAGCTTTTCCAATGGACGGAGCTCAGTGGAGTGGAGAATGCAGCGAATGCGCTTGACACGCATTGAAAAATTGCAATGTAATAAACGATGATGGAAGTCCAGTTGGACAGTGAAGCGCGATTCAACTTTCAGTTATGTGCGTTCACTCGAAGTGAGAGTCTTCAATTGAAGTGGGTGTGCAATGACACTGTCTACAAACTTCTCTGTAACACCCCATCGCCTTCTCTTTGGTCCAAACCAATGTCAACACTTCTATTACAGTCGGTATTTTCAATTACCTTTGGTGGTGGTGTTTACTCGCCTCTGCTTATTCCCTTTCTCCTCGTTTTATTCTCTCACTTTATGAACAGGCACCTGTGCTTAGGCGAGCTGCACCGACCCAAGAATTGTGGCTGAGAGAACTACAGAGGCACAAAATTAAACGTGCCTTGAAGACTAAAAGAACTAGTCAGAATGGAAAGAGGTGTACATTTCTTCGGCAAAAATTTATTTAAACCTCGCCCCCTCCCCCCCGTTCTTCATTTACTTCCTTTGTCCTACACCACCACCTCATCAGCAATCCAGTGCCAGCGTCTCACGTCTCAACGGTGCATGCCTTGAACCCCCACGACCCTCCACCACCATTCAATTCAATGCGCCTTTCTGCAATGGGAGACAGTGCAGCCTTCACCTCACGTTAAGGTTGTCTCTGCAACCATTGCCCATTTTGACTTACAACAACAGGACCGGTGTCTGGCTGCGAGCCAACTTAAAGGGAAACTTGACGTGTCTGAACACCACCTCTTCTGATGCCACCTTCCCAAGCCAAGGATTCGGTGCTACTGAAACAAATTTTATGGTATAATCAGCAAAGCAAAATCAAAAGACCAATGTAGTACGAAAAAACGATGTCTCGGTTAGGAGAGTTTGATGTAATTAATTGTTTCAGTCAAGAAAACACCACTCCGATTGAGAACTTCCAACCAAAGCACCACAGATAGGTAAATAGTGAGACCTTTTGTTAAGTCGACTATAAGTTGGCGGTTGTAATTTTGCAACCCCCGGTTTGAGGACAAGCCATGTCCTTTAATTTTCTAACGAGATCGCCTTTGCATGTGCTCTTGCTGTTGCCTTGATGGCAACCATAAGTAGTTCCAACCGCCATCATCTTCAAGATCATTACAAAAAGGGCACACAACTCTGAAACCGCTTTCGAGAAAAAGGATATCGAAATTGCTGCCATTCTGAGGTTACAAGACCGGCATTTCATTGATGGAATCCGCCCTGTGCTTTACTTCCACCTCACTTTTACCCTCTGCAGATCCCATTTTGAAATTGGACAATCCTCACATTTCGTTGGCGGATTCAAATGCATTGAAAGACCTCATCTACTTTCATAATCTGTGGCGGTGGGAATACGCAGTTCATGCTTTGCACTAGCACCTGTAAGAGCACTGGCAACGTCCATGCCATCCCAATGCAGGCAGCGCTCGAATGCTGAGACCTCAACACACTGTGCCGCATGCAAAATCCCTCATTATAGCTGTTTTGTAAGGGAAAGGAGAAGGTAGCATAAATTTACCTGCGGAACCAGCTTGTGACTCTAACCAGAGTAAGGAAGTGCATTTTTTGCAAAGCCTACAAAAGAGTAACCGCATGAATATGCTTGTAAACATGAAATGAAGTGGCCTTTACGGACAAGCTTGTACACGCCGGTTTGTACTTACAAAGCGCCGTGGCATTAGTCACTGACAAGTGATGGTTATTTGCTTAATGCATTGCCCTTCAACTGTCGCATTGTACAGTGCTAACGAGCAATTAAACGACTCACTGCTGAGACGGATTTTGGAGTAGCTACGAGTCCGCCTTGTTCGTTTTGAAAAGAACTCCTTGGTACACCACCTCTCCCGTTCTCAATCTACAGTGCTGCAGCGAAAAATACTTGCGGTTAAGGATGTTCACAACATGAGTGACGAATTTTAATGCACCAACTTACTATCACTTGAAGTCATCGGCAGGTGGAAGCCGTTTATGTCTACACAAACGACCGTACCCTTTTAACTCGACTTGACAACTGCATGCACAAGAATGCTTAAAATCGCATGATTTAAGAATGATTTAGAATGTATCCAGCGGACAAGAGGAAGCGCTTTTAGTGAAACCACTTACCTCTCACAGTTCAATGAAAACTAATCTCTGTACATTTGTTGCGAGGACTGGATAAGCTGGTCCCTGTACAAAGTAGAGGACAACGTTTCCCAACTCTACAAACGTTTCCATCAAGAATCGCGAGGTGAAACATTTCAACTATCTTTTCAATGCATTTGCACTCATCGACACACTTTTCGCTAACTGCAACGCACATCTCGCACACTTCTGCTATCATTTCGACTTTCATGTCAGATTACTCGAATACAAAACAGTGCCATATCGCCGTAATACTGACAAATAATTGTTACTGATAACTTCCTACTTACAAATATAAGTAGAGACAACCAACCTACGACTAGCAAACAAGCTGTTTGCCAAAACCTCGACATACGATGAGCCCATTGGCACAAAACTGGTCGACTAACAAGGCGCTCATTTTACTATCGCCTTCAATGGCAGTAAGATCATGTAATTCCGACTGCACGTTAGCATTCGGAGATGGGAACCGCAACTTGACAGCTGCGACGTGCTTACCGTAACATCTTGATTTCAACCCCTTAAAACATCTCACCACAAATATTTACAGCATTAAAAGCATTCTTTTGCCTTCACCCTCGTTCCTACTCAGCAGGCGAAACACTTTGGTCATTTGAGCACCGGCATCCTACTCAGAGTAGTGGAAGGGTCTAAGTTGGAGGAATGAGTTGTGCACGAGTGATGTGTTGCAATTTAGAGGTGACAAATTAAGTGAGAGGAGGTGGCAGGGCTGGTGACATGGTGGTGATAAGGGACGCAGAGTGGCGAATTTGGGAGACGCGTGAGCAGTGGGTGACATTGATGTTTATGTAGGAGATGGAGGAGGTAGTGGCGAGGATGTGATTGTGGTGACCAGGCAATGCCATAACCACGGGTTCGCTTGCCTTTTATGTCAAACATCCAAATGCAATTGAGCTTGCGACAGGTTTAAGTGAAATCGAATTCGAATGCCTCCTCAGTGGTAGGGTGATGAATCGCCCTGTATGGAGGACGACTTATTCCGAATACTGATCGTACAAGTGGCTTACGACGGCACGGATGGATTGCGTTGAAGGACTCTGTCTACACGGACACATGTTGGCAAGGAATAGTCGTGTGTGTGTGTGTCTACTGCACAATTCATTTCGCATTAATCACTCTCAAGGTCACGTGAGC